TAGATAGATAGATAGATAGATAGATAGATATCGATTAGATAGAGAGATTAGAGATCGAATAGAGAGAGAGAGAGAGATTGATGAGAGAGAGAGAGAGAGACCACCAAAGACAAATTCCTTGTGTGTCCAATCACACTTGGTCGATAAAGAATTCTAGCTAGATAGATAGATTTAGATATAAAGATATATAGATATATTACACTGATTATTTCACCCAGCAAACGGCCTCTTTTCCTCCGCTGAAAATTCCTCGCTCCTGGTGAAAGTGCTCTGTGATAGATTTCATTTTAAAAAGCTAATTGGTACTAAAGATTTTTATTTCCCTTGTTTAAATAAAAGTAGGAAAGGTAAGAAGAGGGAAGAGTTATTTGCGGGCGGGCGGAGGTGGTGATTAAAGAGGCAACCCGCCAGCAAATGGCCCCGATTTGCATATGCAAATGGGATGGATTTTAAAATGGTCCTTAATGACCATTTTCATCGCAGGCATTAACATTAATTGCAGCCATATGAAAATGAGGCGTTGGGGTGGCTATTAGCCTCCAAACCCTTGGCCATAAAGCTTTATCTTGATTACAACTAGCCATCATGGCTATGACAATAGTTGTCACTCCGATGGCAAACAAAGAGCTTTTAAGCTGGGCGGGAGGAAATGGGTTCCCTCCCAACAGGCCGCCGAAAACCAGCCCCAAATTTGCTTTATTTCTTCATAAACGGAGGTTAAGTGACTGCCCAGAAGAAGAAAAAAAATCTTTCAAGGGCCTCCTATCCACCCACCCAACCTCGGTCTTGTTTTCATAGGAATAAATAACACGGGACGTCCATCCCAACCCGGAAAAATGGCCAAGGTTTTTTTTGCCCAACAGCTGGGAGGAAAAAAGAGGAGAGCTATCCATTCTCAGTTATTATAGTTATCCCAATCTTCTTTAATCCGCGGTATTTATTCCCGCGCTTTTAAAACAGGGTGTAGATCAAAGCTAATTATTGGATTATTACGGCCACTTTGGGTTGTTGTTGTTGTTGTTTTTTAAAAAAAAAAGTGGGAAGGAGGAAGAAGGAGAAAGGGGAATTACAGATAATCAGAGTTGGATGGGACCTTGTAGGTCATCTAGTCCAACCCCCCGCCCAAGAGGGAGACCCTACAAAATAATCCTCTTTGTTGCTCTTCTCTGCACGCTTTCTAGAGTCTCAACATCTTTTTTATGATGTGTTTTAACCCCTTACTCTGGATTGTTAAATTTAGGAGTTGGTCCCCGAATGCTACAGGGCCTGCTAAAAAAATCCCAGCTAAAAGAGGTTGAGACTCTAGAAAGAGTGAAGGGAAGAGCAACCAAGATGATTTGGGGGCTTGGAGGCTAAAATATACGATGAACGGTTGCAGAAATTGGGGGTGTCTGGTTTAACGGAAAGAAGGACCAGGGGTGGTCATAATAGCAGCCTTCCAGTATCTGAGGGGCTGCCCCAAAGGCGAGGGAGTCAAGCTATTCTCCAAAGCCCCAGAAGGCAGGACAAGAAGCAATCACTTGAGACTTTCAAGAAAAGGCTGGACTGCCATTTGTCAGAAATGGTGTAGGGTCTCCTGCTTGGGCTGGGGGGGTTGGACTAGAAATGGTGTAGGGTCTCCTGCTTGGGCTGGGGGGGTTGGACCTACAAGGTCCCTTCCAACTCTGCTCACCTGTAATCTGTTTCAATGGATGGAAATTAAGCGAGGAGAGAAGGAACCCGGGAACAAAGGAGAAACTTCCTAAAAGTTAGAACAATTAACCCGTGGAACAGCTGGCCTCCAGGAGTTTGGGTTCTCCAGTTTACGTTGTAATAACCAGGTTATTCGAAGACTGGGGCGTTCCTGGCCCAATTCACCCCTTTCTGGGTAGTTTTCCTCTCCCTGCAACCTGCAAATCTCTTTTGCTTTCCTTCTGAATTCCTTCCCGGCTGGCATTTTATCACGAGGTCTCATAAAAAGGACGTTTTTCACATCCTCCTCCTTCCCCTTCCTTCCTTCTTTCCTTCCTTCCTTTTTTTTTCTCTCTTAAGTTTTGGACAGAGATTTATGGTCAGGGATGAAAGCCGGGAGGGGCGAGGGAGGCACAGATGGGGCGAGAGCAGATAATATGGCTGCTCCCGGGAGTTTGATGGGGGGGATTGTAGCCTATTCATCAGCTGCCAGTGGCTCCTACCAAGGTCAGCACTAACAAGGAAGAGGTAAGTTTCCCCCACAGACCCCCAAGGGGCTCCCTCCAATTCAGGTGGCGCAGCGCTGCGCACAGGTTTCTTGTTGCCTCGCGCAAAACCCCAGATTTGCAGCACAAGCTCCTTTCTTCCCGGGGTTGGCCGTGTTTGCAAACAGGCTGCCATGTGTCCCTAAAGTGGAGGGTGAAGAAACACCCGACAGGCCTCTGTGGGAAGGGTGACTTCCATGCTCAGCGCATGGCTTCGATTCATTGGCTTTTGAGACGGTTGAAGTGGCTGCATATGTGCACGCTCTCTCTCTCTCTCTCTCTCTCTCTCTCTCTCTCTTTCTCCCCTCTCACTTTCCCCCTTTCTCTTTCCCTCTCTCTCTCCCTCCCTCTCTCACTCTTTCCTTCTCTCTCTCCCTC